TCCATTCCATGTAACTGCAAACAGTCCTAAGCAAATACTAAAATATCTCCCACATCTAAAATCTCTACTCCAAATTCTTTGTCTCCACTCTAATGATAAACTATTTCAACTGCATGCCAGCCAGCAAGCTAGACTGTTTAGTGACTCAGGCCCCTACCTAGTTATTTGAGATATGACTGGTTTTTCCTGTACCATGCAAGATATTCCTAATGACCCTATAACAAGTCACTGACTGACCCACCAGTGGGATGCTGAAGAGGGGTAATTGTAACCACTTGTGGCTGGAGATAAAAGCATGTAAGAGGGATGAATGGTCCCTGGATGAATTCAGTTGACATAGAGGGAGGAAGGGAGGGAGGGAGGGAAGGATATGGTAGGATTGAGATGACTGCTTGGATATGTCCTTAATTCACTGTAATCAATTAAAGAACTACCATTCATATAACTAAGATAATGATTATTCCCCTAATCAATGATTTCCACCCACTGTCCTATTCAACAATGGAAATATCTTGCATCTTAAATTGATCCATCTATTTCACCAGCACTTATGGGGTTGAAAGTCTGCAGACTTTTATACTCTGTCAAATTAAATATAGACCCAAATCTGCCAGCACATAATTCTGCCTATTATCTGTGTCTATGCAGTTTGTTAGAATTAATCAGTAAAACAAACAAACACACACTCACACACAGATCTACAATTACAACATCTGCTGACAAATCTGAATGTAAGCAGTTAGGATTAATCAGTACAACAAACACACACACACAGATCTACAAGCACAACATCTGCTGACAGATCTGAATGTAAGCAGTTAGGATTAATCAGTACAACAAACATAGACCCAGATCTACAATCACATAACTTACCAAGATAACTTCGTCCATGCAGTTTGGTAGGATTAATCAATAAAACAAAGACCCTGACCTGCAGTCATAACTTGTTGGTGGATCTGGGTCTAAACAGTTTGTAACAATTAATAGAACAAACCTACAAACCTTAATCTGACATTGCATTATGCAATAGCATAACAGAATTCTTAATTTAATCATCAAATCAGAACCTCTTTCCCTGGGCCACTGCATTCAATAATCTAATGTAAATAACATTAAACATACAAAAGGAAAAAGAAATGAAAACCAAAAGAATCCAATTAGTAGTCATTGGTACTGGTACACTTTTTATTATGGAGATTAAACTGAGAAATTTACAAATAAACAGCCACTTGTAAATTTAAACATTTAAGTGAAGAATTACCTTGGAACAAGGAATATGCTTGAAATTACCTAACTGGAGAACTTAACTAAGGTGTAATGAATAACTGTACCATGTTCCATTGAATGACGGTAAACCAATGGCTGATTGTATGAGTGGACCAATGGATGACTGTATGAGAGTACCAATGGATGATGTCTGTCACACATCCTCATCTACCCCAATTTGTCATCACATATCATGGCCACATATCAGGATCTATGTGGATTTATCATTACATAACATGGCCACACATCAGTATCTATGTTGATTTATCATTACATAACATGGTCACATATCAGGATCTATTCTGATTTATCAATTTTATAACATGGCCATACATGTCAGGATCTATTCTGATTTATCATTACATAACTTGGCCACACATCAGGATCTATGTGGATTTATCATTACATAACATGGCCACACATCAGGGTTTATGTGGGTTTATCATTACATAACATGGCCACACATCATGGTCTATGTGGATTTATCATTACATAACATGGCCACACATCAGGGTCTATGTGGATTTATCATTACATAACATGGCCACACATCAGGGTCTATGTGGATTTATCATTACATAACATGGTCACACATCAGGATCTATGTGGATTTATCATTACATAACATGGTCACACATCAGTATCTATGTTGATTTATCATTACATAACATGGTCACATATCAGGATCTATTCTGATTTATCAATTTTATAACATGGCCATACATGTCAGGATCTATTCTGATTTATCATTACATAACTTGGCCACACATCAGGATCTATGTGGATTTATCATTACATAACATGGCCACACATCAGGGTCTATGTGGGTTTATCATTACATAACATGGCCACACATCATGGTCTATGTGGATTTATCATTACATAACATGGCCACACATCAGGGTCTATGTGGATTTATCATTACATAACATGGCCACACATCAGGGTCTATGTTGATTTATCATTACATAACATGGTCACACATGTCAGAATCTATTCTGATTTATCATTACATAACATGGCCACACATCAGGATCTATGTTGATTTATCATTACATAACATGGCCACACATCAGGGTTTATGTGGATTTATCATTACATAACATGGCCACACATCAGAGTCTATATTTGTCAAAAAATTACATGTTTGAGCATATTTGTGTAACTTGAACATGTGAATTGTATATATTGGAGTGGATTGAATTCATTCATTTATACAGTATATTTTTAAGTAAATATCATTTATTATCTTGTATTTTCTGCAAATCAATGGATCCATTTTGTGATATTTATCTTAACAAAAGATACATCTTTTTAAGGTCTACACATATCTTCAAAAGTAATGCCTGATATCATTCTACATTCTAACATCATCTTAACAGACAGCATTTTTTCAGCCCTCACATGTTGTCAAAAGTAATGCCTCATATGATATAACATTCTGACATCATCAGAATAGATACTTATTTTAAGTCTTCACCTTTATTTTAAGCCTTTACATGTCAACAGAAGTAAACCCACATTATCACAACTGACCACTCTTCTTTTATGAAGCTGAGGTAACATTTTGATGTTATCACGTAAGTGTGCAACCAAATGCCAAGTGAAATACTTGCATGTTGTTTGTATTGCTTACATCAACAGAATGAAATCAATGTTTCTTTGTCATTATTTGTAATCTTAGGATTAAAACAATCCTCTGAGAAACAGTATTTCTTACAAATCCAAAATACCATTTTTCAATGCTGCAATATTTTGCAAAGTTTCATTTCAGTTACATAAGGGATTATTTAAAATTGCAATACTAGAAACATATTTCTATAAGGAAAATGATCTTTTAAAACCATTATTTCTTCAATTCAACAAAACATATCATAATAAATTTTGTTAAGATGGGATTTAATATGGCTCCCATGTCTGTTTTTATGCTGTGCTAAACAAGTACATGACATTGAACTAGTTTGGGTCCAACATTTTACAGCCCAGGGTATCTACAATATATTTATCTATATATGGGTAGATTTACAACCCTGAACCCCCTGGGACAGGTATCAGCAGTGAAGTTATGTCAATAAAATTCCTTCACAGTAATATAAAATGAATTTTTACATGTGGATCCCATCCCATAAATCCTCAGAGTGCTGGACTACCTTGGTTACTCTTTTTTACACATGGACCCCATCCCATAATGCCTGCAAAGTGCTATTCTGTCTTAGTTAATATTTTCACTGTGGACCCCCATACCATAAATCCTCAGAGTGCTACACTATTTTGGTTACTAAATGTCACTACTAAATAAAAATCATCGTATCTGATTTATTCAGCTTTCACAAAAATAACAAGACCCTTAGGTACATGAGAATAGTGCATCTACATATTGGCCTGCACTGTTTGCAGCTGCAATGACATTAGAAATGACAATATGTAGTATAGCTTATATATTCATCTAGAAATTGGATCTAAAAGTAAAATGCATAGAGCGAGATCTGCCGATACATAATGTGCCAGCATATCTAGGTTAATGCATAGAGCCAAATCTGCCATTACAAATGTGCCAGCATATCTAGGTTAATGCATATAGCCAAATCTGCCATTACAAATGAGCCAGCATATCTAGGTTAATGCATAGAGCCAGATCTGCCATTATATAATGTGCCAGCATATCCAGGCTAGATCTGCCATTATATAATGTGCCAGCATATCCAGGCTAATACTATGAGCCAGATCTGCCATCAAAATGTGCCAGCATATCTAGGTTAATGCATAGAGCCAAATCTGCCCTAGTATAATGTGCCAGCATATATAACTTAATGCATAGAGCCAGAACTGCCATTAATGAGCCAGCAGATCTGGGTTAATTCAGTTTGATATGAATAATCAGTAGAACAAATAATACAGCTCTTAACTTTTAATACACTCTGCACCAGCCCCAAGTTTTACAGTCTGTTTTCACTGTCATTTTTTATATGACCATTTGGCATATTAATATTATTGTATGATAACCATTTTATCTTTCCAGTAAGTGACCCAGACTTTTGAGCTGTTGACCCCAAATCAATAGGATTCTTCATAATTCCAAGTGCAAGCTATGGTTGCAGGGGTTAGTTTTGTAAATTGGCAAATTTCTTAAGGCTGTGGTGTGTCATTTTCAACTATTATTGTTTACTAATTAAAGATTTGTGAATTCGGTGTTTTGGGCTTGTGTTGTTCTTGAAATTGATGTCAGGCATGTACACCTTCCATAGTTACTCAGCAGTATGGTGATAGTGAAATACCAATAGATGGCTTGGAAGAGGAGCTAGCCTCCCATAGCAGTAAACACATGGGTTTGGGGCAAGGAGAATATCTCAAAAATGGCTTTGATGACAACTATTTTCAACTAATCAGCCTGTTTACTACACACTGTTTTGCAGAAATGTCATCTAGGAAAAGGGATTGTATTTGCACTGTGAGCATCACTTGGTGTCAAATACGACCTTCGAACATGAAAATTTCATGTATACATTTGGTATTGGGGTTCCGATATGAACTGCAATTGACTTTTCTGGTCAAGTGGATAATATTCTTATGCTTTGTTTTAATATAGGTATCCAAAATTAGAAATCTTTTTGACTTTACTTGTGTATTTGATTTATTTTATGATTTTTTTTATAATAAAAATTGTCCAGTCATGTTGTTATGTCTGCAGTGTGGCAGTTTATAATATCTAAAACTGGGGCAACATGCTGCAGACATGAAGACTTGACTGGGGTTTGAACCAGTGACCTCCTGCATCTAAAGCAAATGCTCTAACCACTTAAGCCATTGGAGCATTCCAGTAAAATCAAATCAGGCAAGAGTTTCCCAACCAACTGGTAAATTGAGATTAAGATTTTCCCAATCAAGTCAGGAAATTCAGATGTCAGACAATAATTTCCCAACCAGGTTGGTAAAATCAGATACTCAAACAAGAGTTTACCAAGTCAGTAAAATCAGATCATCAGCCAAGCATCCTGGTTTTGCAACTCAACAAGTTTCGTTCAAATCATGTCTAGACCAAGCTACATCAGCTGCCATGGCAGGACACTTTATTCCAATTGTCTCCACATTATATATTATGTGATTTTGATTGATTTCTACATGTCATTATATTTGTGTACAATTTCCTGTTCCTATTCTGACTTTGATGCCTTGTTCATGATAATGTCTTTTGTTTGAAGTCCTATCACTTTATTTTTGTGACTACACTTTTCCTAAATATTTTGTTAGTAAGTTTAATGCATGTTGACTGTTAGAAAGTAGCTGAGGGTCTCAAGGGAGACTAGTTATATCTTTATTTTAAATCAGCTACCAATATGAAATAAAGAATTATTGTTACTATCAATATTGTTTTTTGATAAATAGTAATCAATCAATCAATCAATCAATCAATCAGAAGATGTTAGCCTTGCTACAAGAATTATATGAAATTCTAAGTCTCATTTGCTCGAATGGCATAATCAAAACACCATGCAAAACTGCTAGAACAAGACATTGTGACCTACTTTTATGAACTGTGAATTGTACCTGCCATGACCAAAACACCACAAAAAGAATATAATTCACTTCTTGATCATCAGGGTTAGTCTTGTACTCTGTTTTGTGTATTAAAGTTAACAAATAAAACTGCAATTGGTTCCGAACCAGACTGAACTGAACCTTATCCAGAGTTCTGACACATATAGCTTAATTTTTAATGATTGATATGTATAAGATGTTTGAGGGTATTCCAAAACTTGGGGATTGAAAATTATCCTTAGAAATAAACCATCATGCTTAATAAACATTAGTATAAATGTGGAATAATAAAACCCATTGATTATTTAAATCTCTATTATATAACCCTTACTAAATCAATCAATGTTCATTTCCCCCCATCAGGAATCAAAAGCCTGCAAATTAGAAACTCAATACAAATTGCATCTGTCTATAACAGGATGGAAAACAATACCGGCTCTGTGCAATTATTGTAATCATTTTTTTGCATTTGGTATGTCTATTGGTCTGAAAATTGTATAATATCTCCTAAAATATAAACTATAATTCATAAAAACAAACAGTGTTTGAGTGTGAATGGTGATGATGATTTCCTCCAATAATGATGCTTTCTCTGTCCGATGAAATCTAACATAATGGTACAACTGTTCATCTAGCCTGAAACAACTCATTATCCATGACTGTTGGATTAGTGATTTGTTTTTATATGGGAGTTTTTATTTAAAGGTCAATTGCAAACTGCATAGACCCATTATTTTCCATCAAATAATGTGCTGCAGATCTGGGTGTATTGGAGTAATCTGTAGAATAAATATGGACCCTAATCTACAGAACATTATACAATGATAGATCAGTGTCAACATTGATTGCAGTTGGATTCAAATTGTAATAGAGTATAAACCTTTTTTACTTTATAAAATGATTTGAATTACCATTATTACCTGTGCAATTTGCCTTTTTAAGCTGGGCCACCACATGTCATGCTTGTAAGGAAGGACCTATAACAGTTCATATTGACATGACAATATTATGGGTTGGCCATTGAACTTTAAATCTATTTGCAGAAAAGTTTGTAACCCAGATTGCCCACAGGCATGAATCTCTATAATTTCCATATTAACTTGTACAACCATGGTTCATATTAGTGATATACAAATAAGTTTCAACATCTGTTTTTGGTTTTAAAACTATTTTTTTAAAATTTCTTTACATAGTGAGTTATAATTGAAATACAGTGCCTCAATTAATGAACTCAAGCAATTACAGAGTTGTTCCTCATTGTTAGAGATGTTAAATTGTATAGATAAAGCTGTTAGAGAATGTTAAATTGTAAATGAATAGATAAAGTTGTTGAATGTAAAATTTGTATACAGATGGATACAGCTGCTGGAGAATATTAAATTGAACAGCTGCAATACAACAGGACTTCCTACATACCAGTGCAATATGACATGACTTCTGACACCAAGGTATACTAGGGTTGTTTTCCCAAAGTGAAGAGTAGCTTACCCATAACAATGTGTACAGATCATCAGATCCACTTATATTTTTATCACTGTATAGCCTGTAATTTGTGATACTTATTTATTTCTTTAGTATAGAAATTACTGCAGGTAACAAGTATTTTAACAAGTTTTATTAAAAATGTCAGATGACTTTTTGATGCAAAATATTTGTAAATTTGGACACAAGATACAAAGCCAGTGAAAAGAAGAAAAAAAATACCAGTAGCACTTTAATAACAACAAGCATACAAACTCAATTCTGAGATTAAAGTGATGATCCTTTAAAAACTGTAATTCAAATTCTTTTATTTATCTAACATGGGGATGACATAGGAAAGTCTTATCTACAGAAGTATCATTGTTCATTATGTCTTTCAATTTGTGGCATTTATCAAGTAAACAGAGCTGGTAAACAAAACGAAATTCAATTGAAAGTATTTATGCATGGTTTAATTCTGACAAGAAATCATTTATAAATTTTCAACATTAGGAAAGAAATGTTGGAAGAATGGATGACCAAATCACACTGCCTGAAAACACACCTACAGGCAAAACTTGACCAAAATGTTATGGACAGATAAAGAGTGGCACATATATATTCATTTAAAAGTATGTGTTATTTGGATTTTTAAAGTAGCTTTAACAAATACAATCATATTGCTATGATGCCTGCAGTGTTGCAGTTTATAGTGATGTCTTGCATAGCGGCATCATGCCACAAAGATGTAAGCATAATGTCATACCAAGTCACATTATCAGGACACCTGATGCCAACCAGTCCTAACACTAACCTCTTAGTGCTGAGCCCCTAGCGAGGCAGCTGTTAGTAGCATTTTTAATTCTCTAGAATCACATGGCTGCAGTGTGAACCTGCAATATCCCGAACCTGTACCAGATGCTCTAAATACTACAGAGTGGTTTCATTTATGAATAGAGTCCAACTGCAAACTTCTCAGACCAGCTCTCCCATCACATAATATGCCAGCAGATCTGGGTCTATGAAGTTTTTTTTACATGTAGAACAAACAATGCAGACCACGAAATGCTGTTGCATTATGCATATCAAGTGTCTGTGTGATTTTGATTTTTAAAGTAGCTTTAACAATTTTTCAGTCATATTGCTACGATGTCTGCAGTGTGGCAGTTTATAGTTGATGTTTAGAACTGGGGCATCATGCCGCAGACACGTACCATGATGTCCCACCCAGTCACATTATCCTGACACTGGGCCGACCAGTCCTAAAACTAACCTCTTAATGCCGAGTGCCTAGCAAGGCAACTGTTAGTACCATTGGTATGACTCATCAAGGGTTTGAACCCAGACTTTTACATCTGAGGTGTATGCTCTAGCCACTAGGCTACCAGAGTGGTCATTATTCAGGTTATAGTTTATGTTTGTATTGGACACAACTTGTAACAAGTATACCACTACCACCTTTTGTGATACAAAAATAAAATAAAAAGGTTTTGAAGAAACATGTTTTTCACACTTATTTGCCAGTGAAGTTGCCCACCTCTATGTGGTTTGCAAGAACTTTATGATGACAATGATGATGTCATCAACAGAAAATGATGAGGTCATCAACAGTAATAATAATAAAGAGGCAAATTCTGCCTTCAATGACCATTTGACCTGACTAACAAGTGGTATATTGTTCTAACAGTGCCAGTGAGCATTCTTAGTAGCATTCTTAGTATACTGTTCTAACAAGTGACCAACCTAATACTCATACATTATCCTAACAGTGCCACTGACCATGTGACCCACCTGACGATTTTTGCAATAGTGCTAACCAGAACGTGACCAACCAACCAAACACTTGTAATTTATTCCAATGGCACTAGAATAACCAAGTGACCAGCTTAATTACTCGGCCATTATCCTAGTGCAAGAATGTCTGGAGTGACCAACCAAACTCTTGTACATTATTTGTAGCAGTACTAACTCTTATTTTATTCAAACACTGCAAATATCAACATCAGCTTCACTTCATGCATCATAATCATCAGCATAAAAAGTAGGATTCTACATGTACCAGTCTGTAGAATGGAATCTAAATGCCATGAGGCTCCACAGAGAGATGAAATTATTGATAGCCAGGAAATTGGGCAAGATAATAATTCAGTTCAAAATGAAACTCTTCTTGGAAGATTGTTGACATTTTTGGCTGAGGCACAAAACACAGTTAAAATGCTCATTAGCCCCTCAAACTGGAAAATGGGCACATTTGGAAATAATTACTAATGATTTACAGGAAATACAGAACATGACAATTAGGGAATGAATAGAGAACCATATACACTACAATAAAAGTCCATATAAATTACATTAAAAGTATGTCATTTTAAAATATCACATCTTTCGAACTGTAAATTTATTTTTATTTTTAATACTATGAACTTAAAAGCTGTAATTCTTTGTTTTTTAACCACACATAAAAGAGGTAAATAAAATACATCCAATTAGAGGATTTAAGCATTAATGCAAGCCTTTGTTTTACCAGAATATTCATTTTGCAAAAAAGCCCACCAATAATAATCCAGAAATCTGGATCATTCCATTTTAATAGTTGTTTTTACAATGCTATTTCTGCTAAAACAAGCCCATCAATAATAATCCAGAAATCTGGATCATTCCATTTAAATATTTGTTTTACAATGCTATTTCTGCCAAAACAAGCCCAAGGCTCTCACAGTTACACAACCCTGCAGCCAAAAATACATGAGAAGTTACCTAAATGCAAAACTGGAGGGAAATGAACTATTTGCAATAATTTTAATACAATTCTTTAATA